CACCTGAAACATGTGAAACACAAGAAACACATGAAACACCTGAAACATGTGAAACACATGAAGCAGATGAAATATGTGAAACACCCAAAACATAGAAAACACGTGAAACATCTAAAACACCTGAAAGATGTTACTGTTGTTCACTTATTAGCTTTCAGCTAGTATTTTGCTCCTTTTAGCTTTAAGTGTGTGTTTTACTTCTTACTTTTAGCTACTGTTTTGCATCTTATTAGCTTTAAGCTCGTGTTTTACTTCTTATTAGCTTTTAGCTACTGTTTTGTATCTTATTAGCTTTAAGCCAGTGTTTTGCCTCTTTTAGCTTTTAGCCAGTGTTTTGCCTCTTGTAGCTTCACTGCCTCAGTTAATGATTCTTTAGCACATCAGAATCATCACGTGCTGACTCAGCGCTCAGACCATAAACAAAACAGCAGCTGGACGTTACCTGAGCTGTCAGGACCTTTGACCTCCATCCTCTGAGAGTGCAGGTTGGTTGGAACGAACTGAAGGTGTCGGTCGGACTTGCTGCTGCTGGACTTGAAACACGGTGAAGCTGATTGAAAGAAGAACGTTTTATCAGGAGGAGAAACGAAGACAACAGCTTCCAAACAGGCTGAAACACCGAGATGTTCTGCTGACGCACAACAAGGTTCTCGGCTAGAGGTCAGAACTTGAGTTTAAGAGCCTACATATGGTTCATAGGTCAGAGTTAAGTAGTTTAACAAATAAAACATTTATCTGACAATAGCCAGGAACAAGGACTAAAAGCTGAAAGAAGCAGCAGCTAAAGTCTCAGTGTAAAAGCTAGAGGAACGTCTGGCTGCTTGGAGGACAAGTAAGAAAAAGTTCAGGATCAGGACTTTTACACGGTTCTTCCTGGACCTTACTTGAGAGTTTGTCGAGCTCAGCCAACGTTTCCTGGTAGCAGCCAATCAGATGGTCACAGTGGCTGATGACATCATGTCGCAGACCGTCCCAGTGGGGTGAAAGGTCACCGAGCTCCTTCACCTCCTGGACTCTGACAAACAAACATTTTCCGTCCATCGTGAGACGAGCCGGTGCCTAAAGATGAACTTCACAAACACGTAAACGTTCACGTGGTTTTGTTTTTAAAACTTTACATCAGAACTGACCGGGACATGGAAGGTCAACGGTGAGGTCGCAGCTCGTTGACGTAGAACGCGTTCTACAGTTCGGGGACTAAACTGATGCACAGGTCAGACTTGTCAACGTTGCGTCTTATCGGTTGTCCTCACCTGTCCGTGTGCTCCCGAATGAGCACGCTCAGTAGCTGTTTGGGTACGGAGAAGGAGAGCGGCGTCTCGCACATCTGCTCCCGGACCAGCAGCCACCTCCGGTCCTCGGTCTGAAACCGGTACACCTTACACACCTGGGCACACAAAACTGCACACACACGTTTGTACCAAGTGACAGGGGACAAGTCCAACAGGGACACGATGGCGTCAACGTGGGACTCACCGGCTCTCATCATCGGAGAATTTTCTCCGTTATGAACGGAGCCATGATGAGCGTTACGGAGAGAGTGGCCCTGAAACGAGAAGACAAGAGAATAATGTCCAACGGTGGACAAAAAGGACAGAAAACACTCATCTGTCTTCATGTTCCTCCTCTGACTCTCGCTCAAGACGAACGCGTCTGCTCTCCCTCCCCCGTTCTCCTCTTCCTCCTGCTTTGCTCTCTGTGTTTGAAGCTCCTGGTACACATCTCCCGAACGAAAGAATACTATTTTGGATCTGGTGAGCTGGACTTTCAACACAATCGACAAAATCTTTTCAATAAAACGACAGGGTCCTGGAGAGCCCTCTAGTCCGGCTGAGACTCACGCTGCAGGGTACATCATGGATCCGTGGGGAGCTTGGCAGCTGATGTGTCTCTCAGTTCTGACTCAGGAGGACGCCGAAGACGTTTATATTTTGGATTTATGATAGCAGCGTTTCTGCTCTTTGGCATCGGCGGGGCTCTGTTTTATCAACTTGAAGACATCGGCAGCAGCTTCGTCCATGGCAAAGCTTCCAAGTCTGTGTGAAAGTTTGGTCCGTGCTACGAGTACTCAAAATCAGCTGCTTTACAAGTTAAACTGTAAGATGGAGGCGATTTGTGAGAATCACAGGCCGCCTGCGGCTTCTAGTACTCGCCAGCATGTTGGGATTAACCTTGAAGAAGGCTCATAACGCGGATCAGTGAAGTGGAATACCCATAAATCTGGACATTTTGGATCTGGAAAGTTCCAGCAGGACTCAAGGCTGACAAGAAAAAACAGTCTGTCTGAAGAAAATCAACAATTGTGGTTTATCTAATAATAAATAATAAATAAAGTGCTATGTGTTGTCATCATTGTATGTTCCCATACAGAGATGACATTAGTTCTCTGCATTTAACCCATTGCACCTGGGATACAACAGGTGGAGCAGTGGGCAGCTATGTAAGCGCCTGGGGAGCAATTCGGGATTAGGTGTCCTGCTCAGAGACACCACGAGATGTGCAATGACCGAGGATCGAACCCAGGAGTCGGATGCCCTGCCCCTACACCATCTTGACCCCTAAATCTGAATCTGACTCCCCTGTTTGGCCTCGAATACGAGCCGACTATCAAATTTCTCCTGGGACATGGGTAACGAGGGACAAAGCTTCGTCTGTCGTGACCCCCTCTGCGAGAACTTCTGTGCAGGCTTCTCAGAACTGCCGGTTGAACATCATCAGGACTATGGCCTCTCTGGAAGAGCTTCATGGACACATCTCAACGTCTTGACGTCAAATACATAATGTGTTTGTAAATGTGCTGCTGGGAGAGTTTTTGACGTCTCAAATCGTGTCCTGATAGGACAAGATGTGAAGAGATCTTTTTTGTAATACCACTAGCCATCCTCATGGTTCGTATCCTTTTTCTATCTAAAAGTATTCTGATAAAGAACAAGAGGCTGCGCTCTTGTAGCAGCAGCAACGTGCACCACGTCCATCTTTCAAACGACTGTACGGACATAATCTCACTGTGTCTCGGTACAACGATAATAGAACTGATTCTGATGTCCTCAGACAACTTTACCCCCTTTTTGTTTCCTGTTCTCACATGTGACCGGTTTGAACTGCACGGTATCTTAAATTAACCACCAGTGACTCAGACTGCAGGAACTAAAAATATCTGAATGGAAACCAAACGTGCTGAAGTGACACCCCGGCAGCGTCCAACACCGTCTCTGAGACAATAAAGACAGACACGTTGAGTTTTGTCAACCTTGTGTTCGGGACAAGTTTTATCTTCATTGTCCTCCTCCTCCGCCTGAAGACGAGACGCCGTCACCTCTCCAACCTCGTGCACTCTGTCCATCGTCCTGACGGGCACACAGAAGATTTAAAAAATAAAGTCGAGACAGAAAGAAGAACTGAACGGTGCACGAGAAAACAAATCCCGTAAAAAACCCCAAATTTATTTCACGCCGAGGGTGACGGATACATTCGTCCCTGTGCCAAATCAAACCCACATCGTGTTTTGGTCCAATACACATACTGTGTACAGCATGGATATGCCCTGCAAGGATCCCTGCGACCCCATAACAGAGGCCAGCTACGGACAGACACATTGTAAATACACAGTTTCGTTCCACCTCATGTACCACATGTGATGCAAATGACAATAAAGTCACCTTGGACCTTGATGTGTGACAGATGTGACAGATGTGTGACAAGTTAGACTCAAAAGAGAAAACAACCTGCACGGATCAAAAACCGTAAACAAGACAAGACTTTCAAGACACGTCCTTTTCTGATAAAACACCGTCTGATACTGAGTCCTGATTGGCTGCTGAGTCTCGTTAAAGATAAAAGAAGCAGAACACTAGCTAAATGTGACAAAAGGCTAGCTCAAAGATAAAATGAGCAAAACATTAGAAGAAGCAAAATGCTAGGTAAAAGTAGAAAAATGTCAGCTAAAATTAGCTAAAGACTAAATCTATCTAAATAATAACCAGAAGCTAAAAGTACTATAAAGATAGGAAAACAGTAAAAGCAGCACAAGAATGGCTAAAAACTAAATGTAGCTGAATTGTAAATAAAGTAGCAAAAGGCTAGGTAATAGCTTAAAGTAGAAAAACACTACTTAAACATAAGCTAAATGCTAGCTAAATAAAAAAAAAAACTAGCAAGTAGCACAAGAATGGCTAAAAACTAAACGTTGCTGAATTGTTATTAAAACACAAAGGAGCAAAAGGCTAGGTAATAGCTCAAAGTAGAAAAAAAGTTAAGATTTACTAAATGCTAGCTAAAAGTAAAACAAAACACTAGCTAAAAGCAACAAATGTATCTAAATGTTAGCTAAATTAGAAAAAGGTTAAAAAGGTAAAAGCTAAATTTATAAAAATGGTAGCTAGAAGCCAAAAGTTGTAGAACAGTAACTAAAAGATAAAGTAGCAACAGTTGCTGAAAGTTAATGTTGCAGTTAGCTAAAAGCTAAATGTAGCTAAATGTGTTAAAAGTTCCAAACCAGCCTCAGAGTAAGAAGCAGAAACTCTGCAGGTCTGTAAACGTTACACGGAAGAATGTAAACATTACCAGACACACCTGAATGCAACATGCCAACACAGGTTCACCTCCTGCTGTCCTCAGTACAGATAAACGTCCTGCTGTCCTCAGTACAGACACATCATGCTGTCCTCAGCACAGAGACA